TATAGCATAAGTAAATAAAACTTTAAGACAAGCAAACTAAATTCACAAGCAAAAAATTTCGGTTCGTGAAAATAATAAGCATCTATATCTCACAATTATACGAGTGATAGATGTGTAACTACAGAACAATTAAAGATCCTTCAGAGAGGTCAATATAGAAGCATGATTAAGTGGGAAAAAGAAAAATCAAGTTTCTGTTGATTGCAACTTCTGAATAGAAATTAATATGATTCCAGAATGGAAACGCAATCAGGAAGACAAACAAGAAGCAAGATTTTTCAAAGTAACTTCTGAAATCATAAAACGAGCATACATACTAAACATATGCCCTAAAGCTATTTATTCAATTCATAGATCAATTCGCCAGATAAACAAAAATGACCGATAAATGGCAGTCTATTTACTCATCAAGAACACAAAAGCATCTTCCGATTTTCGATTAATACATATTATCTAAGAGAAAATGAGTATAAATATTTCCCAAAAAAAAAACCTCTACTAAACCCCGAAAACCCATTTCAGAATACTAATACATTCCACACAAAAACAAACCCTTATCCCATAACAATTCGCCCCAATAAAAAATAATCAACACGGCACACACAAAAATCACAGTACGGGTAATTGAAATACCGAACCATCTTGTCGAGGTAGTCGGAAAGAATGGTAAACCAGTGAGGGCCCATGGCGGCCGTTCCTTCAACAGCCATGATAAGCTGTTTCTGCACCATGTATCTGTAGATATTCTCGAAGCAATCTCATCGTCGATGGTGGATACCTTCCGCTCTTCATCATTGATAAAATTAGATTGATAACTTGATGTATGGGCTAAATTGAGACCATATTTGGAGTTAGTAGGACATGGGCAGTCGAACGGTGGTGGTCGTGAACAAGGTGTTGGCCGGAGGAGACGATTCCGGCAGTTTTTACAGTTTCAGGTTGCTGGTTTTCTAGGTTGATTTCAGCCGTATTACTGGATGATTTTGGGAAATGTTGGGTGGATATTGTAGAAGATGTTAAGGGCAATCCATTGGGAAATGATTTTTAGCAACGTTTGGTGAACGTTGCGAAAAGTCTTATCTTTCGCAATGTTTGATAAACGTTGTTAAAGGTAAAATCTTTCGCAACACTCAATAAACGTTGTTAAAGGTAAAATCTTTCACAACACTCAATAAATGTTGCTAAAAGTGTCTACCCCAACATTTTTCTAAAAAATGTTGCCAAAACTCATTTATTAATACCAATGGCAACATTGACCTACAAAAATGTTGCCAAAAGACCCTTTTG